CAGCAGCAGCAGCAGCAGCAGCAGCAGCACATGCTGCAGCAGGAGCATCTGCAGCAGCTTCTTCGTCAGCAGCAGCAGGGGGTTTTACAGCAACACCAGGCGCAGGCCAGACTGCGCACGGCAGCGGCTCCAACGGAGCAGCAGCTCCACCAGCAGTCGCAGCTTGTGTTGCAGCAGCAGGAGCAGGAGCGCCAGCTTACTTTGCTGCACCAGCTAGTGCCGCCTACACATACAGTTGGTCGTGGGGGCACAGATGACCCTGAAGGGGCGATGAAGCTTCTACTGTCTCTCATGCCCAATGCCCTAGGTCAAACCCAGCGAATGGCGCCACCTCCGCAGCCGCAGCAGCAGCAGCAACAGCAGCAGCAGCAGCACTTCAGGTACAGCGACAACAACGCCCCCAACTTCCCTGTCAATGCATCTGGGAGTCGGAACCCCGAAGCACTGGCTCGCATACTAGCCGCAAGGGGGGGGACTGCCTCTTTGCTCCCTCGAGCTCAAGTGGGGCCAGCTGTGGGGCATCTGGGCAGGGGTGTGGTGGAGGCCCCTGACGGTAGTTGGGGGGAGCCAGTTGCTGCTGCAGCAGTTGCTGCTACTGCAGCAACTGCAGGTGTCCCGGACAATGGCCACGGCCGAACGGTCCCGCGCAAGCGATCCGTTTCCTCGGCTGAGGTCGAAGACAGAGGCAGTGAGCCAGCCTGTGGATTCTACTCCCAACTGGGATCGCACCTCCCGGAGCTCCAGCAGTTCCCCCCAGGCGCAGATGTCCGCGCGGTGCCCTCAGGCCCACCGGGGCCCCCAGGGGCCCAAGGGTCACCTGGGGGCGCCGCTGACGCAGACACCGTGCCGCTTGTAGGCATTCCGCCGTCGGTCCCGCCCGGCAGTGATTTGCTACCATTCTTACAGGGACGGAGAATGCAGCAAATCCCGCAGCAGCAGCTGCAGCAACTTCAGAGAGCCCTCGAGTCCCAGCGGCTGGAGTGAGAAGGAGCAGCAGCAACAACAGTAGCAAACTGCTGTTGCGTATGGGAGGAGGAGGAGGAGCATGTGACAGGATACGGGTCTTTGTCTTCGGGGAATGCGTGAAGGGGCTGTGACGGACGTTGCTTCTTCTTCACCTTTGCGGCTTTCTCAGTTGTCATAATTTGGGGGGTGGTTGTTGCTTCTCAATGCAGGGAGGCCTGGTGCTCGCTGTGGTCCTCCTGCAATATCTGCTGCTTCACAGACACCCGGGCCTTCGAGCCCGTGGCTAGCTGGCTAGCTGACGTCAGCTGCAGGGGAAATAATGGGCCTGAGGCTTGTGGCTTTCCCCAGACAGTGGTCGGAAGCGCCGAAGGTCGTGGTTTACATTCAAGCTTGTGAAGTGCGAGGCCTGTTGGAGCAGCAGAGCTGAGCTGTGTCTTGTTGTGTAAGTCCCATACAAGGTGCGAGCTCTTCTTTTTAAGGAGCAGTCGCTAGGGGTTAGGGCTAGTGGGGTGTACGTACCCCGCATGCCTTGCACTCCCCAGCAGCCTGCTTTGCGGCTTCATAGGGTGAAGGGGCCTTCCCCCGTACTCGAGAGCAGTATGTGTTGATGAACTGCTGGACATGCAGAGCATGTGCACGAGCGGACAGAGGGGGCTCGTCACGTGCGCCTGTCCTCGTTCCAAATGACCCCAGTGTTTCTCGTGGAGGCCCCGTGCATGGCTGCTTGCATGCAGGCATATATGCTTGATTGCGTGCGTGGCTGTGGCCGTGGCTGAGAGGAGCAAGCCAGCGATACCTGTAAGACTCCCCGTGTCTAGAAAGAATGCAGATATTCGTGCTGAAGGAAAGGGCTTCAGCGACAGCAATTCTTTAGTTTCCTACGCGTACAGCAACCGTTATGCGGTGCTCCGAATCATGGCGTTTATAACTTGACCCCGTCTAAGCGGGCTGGTGCTATTTTTGCAGCTCCCTTAACGTTGTGTTCACCTCCTGTGGGCACCCGCCTGCAGGAGGCACCAGTAAATCGCACTACCGTGAATAGCAGCAATATCCTGTTCGCATTCCGAGGGGCTACTGGAAACCCCAACGAAGAANTCGCACTACCGTGAATAGCAGCAATATCCTGTTCGCATTCCGAGGGGCTACTGGAAACCCCAACGAAGAACATTGCCGTCACTTCTTGTCTAGCAGCTAGCTCACACAGCCTAGATAGTGTTGGAACCGTAGAGGTGGCTCGCGCACTTCCTCCTAGGGGTTGTGCTGTCCTGCACTTCGCTTGAATGTAGTGGAGTTGGGCCTTCCCTTAGGTTAGTCTACAGGAGATTTCTGGCTGTCCGCAGCCTTAACAACTGAATCACTCTTTGACGTATCGCACTCGGTAGTAGCTTAAGTAAGAAGATAAAACTTAGAGCAAACCAAATATCTAATGATATTGTACTGTATGGATTACCCATATAAGTATTTAGCCAACTGAAAATTACGGCAATATCGTGCGCCACTATTGTTATACTTGCAGTCATTCGCGGTGAAGTTGTTTCTTCCTTTGAGGTGATATTGTGGGAATGATACTGCTATATCCTTGGGTCTGCTATATAGCTTGCTGTTGTAGCTTCGGATTTCGCGAGTTTGTACGACGGTTTGGCGAGTAAACTTCAGTTCACACTTCAAGTTCCCAAACCTGGCCACCTCAAGCCTTCCGTGGAAATCCAGTTTCTTTCGTGTTGAACGTAATGGCAGCATTGGGAGACCACTATATATGGGTGTGTGCGTGCTTATATGTGCGTGCGTATGTGTATAAACATATGTGTGTATACCGGTGTAATATATATATATATATATTGTATGGTATGCATGCACATTATATTTGCATATCTACATATACTCACAGGGG